CTTTACATAACGCCCTTGAATATGTATTTAACGTGTTAATTAGTGAGATTTAGAGATGCTAGTTGGTTGATTTTGTTATCTTTTGCTATCTGTGCCCCTGTTTGTGAAAAACTAAGTTAATTGGCTGCCGGTGGTAGCTTCATATTTATCATACAAATATGAGAGTGGAACCAATCCTCTCAATAAACTCTCGGCAAAAAAAAGAATAAATGTGTTTCCCAAAGGGTCGAAGTATTCCTTTAAAGCCCTCCAATGTCCAGCATTTGGCAAAAACACCAGCAATACCTGTATAAAGCTTAGCTATTTATATAAAGGCCATCTATTTATAAAGCTGACATTTTGATTTTGATTACACCACTGGGATGAGATAGACTATTACATCCAGCTTCCTTCCACACTCCCTTCCTCTGTCTGTTGCTGTTTTTAACCTGTCCCTGTCTACCAGCAGCAATTATGACATAAAGCTAAAGCTACAGGAATGCACTGGGGCTGTGCATGAGGCAGGTAGCGTGCCACGTGTGAAATGTTCCACAATGAAGGTGCACACAGTGCAATTAGGGCCCCCTTGGCTCCTTCAATCCAGACCGCTTTTTAACTTGTGGCTGAGGGAAATCTGGAAAGTGTATCTGTGAATTAACAGATGGCACAGTTACGACGGTGCCAGAAAATAAACACATCTTGACATTTATCATGACATGACTTCATGTAGTAGGTCAGAAAATGTGATGAATGTAGCACAATAAATACAAATAAGGGAAACTCTCCAAAGAAACAAATGCTGTTTCATTTGTCCAACACATATTGTTCTAAACTAAACTGCGTAGATGAGATGTCAGATATTGGTGTGAAAATAAGACACTTGTACCATGGAGTACAGACAAAAACCAAACACACACCAAACAGGATTGAGGGGTCCACTGAGTCAGCGAGGGCAGCTGGATCAACATGATGTTTCTTTTGTAAACCTGCCACAAGTTGAAAGGATAGGTCGATCTGAGAATTAAGGATTAATTGAGGCTTAAGACTGCTGAATAAATAGATGAGAGACAAGGCGGGAAGCCCCACTGAATTCAACATGACTGTATCATATGGATCATCTGTGTTCATGGTGCTAAAAACACAATTTAACAGCTTTATTTTGAAATAATTATATGAGATTATAAGATAGAGGTGAAAAAATTGCATTTGAGTCTACTTTTGTACTACTCACGTTCTTGAAAATCTGCTACTCTCCCTCCCACTGCACAAAATTCACAAGCTGAAAAAATAAATATTGAATTACAGAATACAGCATTAAACTTGTTTTATGTAAGTTTTACGGCCCATAACTGACATTTATAGGAATTTTGTGACGTTTTGGGAAATGCATTTATTAATTTTTTGCCGAGAATTAAATGAGAAGATCGATACCATACGTCCGTTAAATACGAAGCTAAATCCAACAGGTGAATAGCTTAAAGACTGGAAACAGGGGAAACAGCTAGCCTGGCTATGTCCAAAAATTTTAAATGTTGCTTAACAGCACCTCTAAAGCTCACTAATTAACGCTTTATATCTTGTTTGATTAATCCATAAATTGTTGTTTTTTAGGGAGTTATGTGCCAGAACTATTTCTTGGCTAGGCAGCGTTTCCCCATCCTTCCAGTCTTTTTGCTAAGCTAAATAACCTCTAGCTTAATACTTAATTTAAATTATATGGCATGAACTGACAAAGCAATAAAGAAAAAAAGGGATTGGAAGCTTATTTCCCCATAGCCTGGCAGACAAGACGTGGGTGTCTTTTTAATGTTGCACAACATGGAGAGACTGCTGTAAATAAAGATGATAACACTTGTCACTTCATATCCTGGTGACAATTTTTCCCCTAACAAGAAAGTAAGATAAGAGACTTTCACAGAGGAAGAAACATTGATGGCTATATTTGGTATAGAAGGGCATGAGATCTGAGCAGGAAATACAAGCTGGTGTGTTTTGGGGCTCACGTGACAGATGAATTTGAAAACAATGACAGACACTGTGACATGGTTGACACAGATTATAGTGAGGAAGGAAACTTGAACAAAAGGATTTGGTAAAGGAATTCAAGAGCGGGACCTCCATTGTATGCAGGGCCATGCAGAGAGCTTTGGAAGGGCAGGTATTCAAAGTATAAAAGGGGCACATGGAACAAGGATTTAAAATGGGGCTGTTCTCCAAATATCGATACAGAAATATATTGTGGTGCATCCCTTGCTGATACGCGTATATAGATGCTTCTGTATCGACATATCAGCAAATGCTGTGACGCAATCTTGAAAAAGAAACACGGGGGATACCCAGCTCTAGCTTTAAAACACTATGGGCTGACAACTTACAGGGAACAGTTGCTGCTTTACAGTTATTTAGTTTTAGATAGTAGGTTTGCTGTTGTAAACACAGTTCAAATGTAGGCTAAATCTATTCCAATACTGTTCTGAATTAAATGATTAAAAAAAAAAGGGCTGATAAGTAGGCTATAAGTCGGAGGAATAAGTATCAGTATCAGCCGGTTTTACCAATGTTGTTATAATTGTTTTAAGGTACACTACGTTTTTATTAAGTTACTGTAATAATCCTAGTTTAAGTGAAAGGTTTTTAGTCAATTTACATAAAGAAACTTTTCTCAAACAGCAAGAAGGAAGTGAACAGAGCACCTTTGATTATCTATGTATAGAAGTAATGTTAGCTGTCGGCATAGTGTTAGCCGGCAGCTAACGTTACTTCTACAGGCGACACACAGTAATGTACACCACAACTGTGCATGCTCTCTTTGCGTCTTTCTTGTAAAATACACCCAACAACCCACAACAAGCACACTGTGGCAAACCCCTCTGACCGGCGGAATCATAGGTACTGTAGGTAGTGCTGCTGAATCACTAACAGTGTCTGAATGGGGGGGCTCGTCACGGATGAGGTCATCAGGGAAAGGTCATCGTGTGGGTCATTTTATTTAACGGGAAATTATTAGTCATTCATTTTACTAATACTTTGATTGGGCAGGCCTTCACAAAGGGGCCTTTACAAATTTAAAAATAAATAAATTAAGGAAATTTTGCATTGATAAAAGGGCACTTTGGGCATCAAAGGGCAAAAGGGTAGGTGCTCAAGCAACCATGGCACCCGCCTCTGCACATGCATGATTGCATGGCATAAAAGATGAGCACAAAAAAATTCTAGCATGGGTTCTGAAGACAAAAAGACAGGGACTGAGACGGAGAGGAAACAGGCCGAGGGAGGCATTAGAAAGGCTGATTCTTTTAGGGAAAAAAAGGCCTTCAAAACAGATGGCAGCTGGTTAAGAAGATTAGAAGCTGTTACTGAAGCTGTTATTAACACTACTTCAGACTGATCACCCCCAAACACACAGACAAACACAAACTGCCCCCAGCTCAACTCACCTCGACTCGATTCTACTCGACTCGGTTTTGGTCCGCCGTCCTCCGTTTTCCATTGCAGATAGTACCCAGAGATAGTACCCCTCAATGTAGCTGGTCGTCATAGCAATGCCACACACAATTGCCGCGAAGTAATGTTCAACGCGACACACGCAACCCACACACTCTTGATTTAAGTTAAAACATTTCAACATTACTCAGAATGTAAAGACAGATAAGCAGTATGAAAACCTTACAGCTGTGTTTTCCTCTGCAGCGGTCTGTGTGACTGTAGGACCAGAGGGCTCTGTGGGCGGGCAGCCAACCTCCACGTGGGGAGCTCCGCAATTCCAAACGTTTAAGCACATTTTTGATCCGCCATCATTGTTTGTAAAACTGTCAATATTCTAAATCTACACAGTTGATTGCCTCAAAACTTCTCAGAAGTGGATTTAGTGATGAAATAACATATGAAAACTGTAAAATATAAAATTTCCTGCTGCATCATCATTGCGATAGGAATGATGATGATCAGTGAGGACCATCATCCTCACTGATGATCACCAACAATTTCAGATTGTTGACAAAGAGTATGAAAACTTGAATATGAAACAATTTAGACCTTGCTTTCATAGTTTTGACTATAATTTCCATTGGTTATGATAATAACATTGTACTCAGTGGGATCTGGCAAAAAAATGCCATCGCTACGAGACAGGGCAAGAAACGCATTCAGACAATCCTTTTAGCCGTATAATCTAAACCAGTTTATTTGCGGGTGAAACCAAAATTAAGCTCGCCCAAAATGTGTAATATTTCACAGGAAAATTGTGCACGGAGAACAGCACTACAGGGCAAAGTTGAACAAGGAAACTCTCTGTGATGTTTGTTTAAAACACAGTTATTCATGTGACTTGTTTTAGTGTTGCCATCATGTTCAGAGATTAATTTGTTTAAAAAATTAACTTGGCGAGTTTAATGTTATTATTACAAAACCAGGAATGTAAGTTAAGACACAAGTAGTAATAAACCAAATTTCCTTATATAAGATGGTTCAGTTACTCAAGGGAATGGTTTGACATTTTGGGAAATACACAAGATTGATACCACTCTCACATCTCAGCACTAAATATGAACCTAGAGTCAGCACATGTTTAGCTTAGCATAAAGAGCGCAAGCAGGGGGAAACAGCTTGGCATCTCTAAACCTCACCGATTAACACATTATATCTTTGTTTTATACTTACGTACAAAAACTGAAGCATAAAAGCGATGTGTTAATTAGTGACTTTTAGTGGTGTTTGTAGGCAAGCCAGGTTAGCTGTTTCCAGTCTTAATGCTAAGCTAAGCTAAGTGGCTGGTGGCAGTAGCTTCTTAATTAGCGTACATAATGAGAGTGGTATCAGTCTTCTCATCTCACTGCAAGAAAGCGAATAAATGCTTTTACTAAAATGTTGAGCTATTTCTTTAAGCAACTTCATACAACCGTCTTGTTACATGTTTTCAGTGCATGGAAGCTTATGGCCCACTTGAATGCACGGTCAGTCTTGGCGTGTTTGTGACCAATATGCAAGTGCACATTATAAGAAAAATTCAGAGACAACACATCTTATTTCATCAGTTGGTTGGTTTATTTATCATTAGCAATGACACCAAATGTACTCTACTGTTTTCACTTGCTATCACAGGAGATGCATTTTGAATTGTAAACAGTGAAAATGATAAAATGCATTTCAGAAAACTCCTTACAAGCAGTGCATGACCAGGCAAAAGAGCAGATCGTACCTGCTCTTGCTCACCTATTTTATTTTAACAATACATGTCATCTTATAGTTTTGAGTCTCTCATATTTACATAGATACAGCTGAGTCCCACTTTCACCACCAGCAGAGACCTATTGGTTTTTTGTTTTTGTTTATTTTAATGTGTTATCACATAGTTTTCTTAAAGAATTATATTTACAACCATAACACCCCCAGCTGCCTGCTGCCAGGGGTTAACACAGTTAGAATCACTTGCTTAAAATTCATTAAACTACTTATGTTTCTTGAAAGTTTGCGTTGTAAGTCAACCTTATAGCTCTATGGGGTTTTTTTCTCTTAACAAATAAAGTTAATACAGAGCTCAAGCCGTTCATCTTTCCCCATAAAAAGTCAAAATTATCCAAAGAAATGAACAAACAAAACATAATAATAAAATAAAATAAAAAACATATTGCACTTAAAAGTTCAGGACAGCACTGGACCTGTTTGGTGGTTAAGAGGAAAGTGAGAGCTTTCAGCTGAGTGCTTTAGAGGAGGTGATGGGTGTCTGTAGAAGCATCCAGCAAGTTAATCTAAATAAATAGGCAAACTTTTGTACAACATGAAGCAATTTTTTCCTCAGACTACGACACGAGCAACCTCTTGTGTATTGCTCAGTAGATCTAGGGAGTGCAGGTTGGAACCCAAAAGCATATAAAAACAGTAAGTGTGTAAAAAAACAGAAACAGCTGAGAAGATAAACGAAGCTGGAACCTGTCATAGCAATGTCCTGAGAATGCTTCCTCAATTAGTCCAGAATGAGCTACAATGTTAAAGAAATGTTGTTTGGCTGCAGGGAACACTTCTGCCATTTTCTTCTTCAGTTTTTCGTTCCTTGTTGTAAACAGTCTTTGGAGACAGGAAGCAAGTCGTCTTTTTTTCCATTACTGGCTTTGAATGTGAGAGTGAGTGACACATGTCTGTGTTTCATCACAGCTCCAGTCCATCCGTTATTTGTACATTTATGTTCTTTGCCCATCGCTGTCTCCATCTTTGTCCCGCTTGTGAACGCTCACAGTATGTTTCCACAGTCTTGGGAGAACTGAATATGGCGAAAGCCATTTATAGAAGCTTTGAGAGGGTGTAGGTGTTTAACAGAGATGCATGTGAAACAGAGCCATAGCGCTAGCTTTCATTCAGACATCTCCCCCGCCCCACCATCATACAGTTTAGAGGCTGATAAAAAAAACAAAAACAGGAAGAAAAAGGATCTTGTGTCGTACCAACAGCTTTGAAGTGGCTTCATAGAGAAAACGGTGGAATGGTGGAGGAAAGGAGGGGATTTAAAGTTGGAGTTTTAAAAGGAAATGAAGGGGAAAAAGTGAAAAAACAGTACCGGACTGTCATTCATGTCTGCAGGGTTTTCTGAGCAACCCCTCATTTTCTCCAGTACAACTGGATGAAAACTTAAAAACGTGTGTGTGTGTGTGTGTGGGGGGGGGGGGGGGGGGGGGATCAGACAAGCGTCCAGCTCCTGCTCCAAGCCCTTGCTTTTGGGCTTCTGTATTTTTACTAACACCCATCCATCCGTTAATCAATCCATTCATTCATCCATCCACCTGGTAAATGTGTAAACTACATTCCTTTGCAGTGCCATAGCTTTGCCGTCCTCTCACATCATAACAACCAAAAAAATCATAGTGGACATAATGACAGACACAAAATCAATTTTTAAAAAAGGCAAACAAAGAACCTCACATCCCAACCCCGTACTGTTTTCAAGTCTACCCCGTTTTCCCCCGTTCTCATCATCATCTTTCTCTTCCCCTTATATCATTTTCTGGTCTCTTATGATGCAGATGAAGTTGGAGTGGAGCTGGGCTTTTTTTGGTTGATTAAGTCCGAGTAGAGTTCTGAGCGCAGGAAGCGGGGGTATGAGTCCTTCTCCATCAGCCCGTATATCCGCCTCTGCGCTAGGTCAAAGCAGGAGCGTGTCACATTCTGCAGGTTGTCCTTAGTGTGATCTCTGGTATACGAGTCCAGATTTACCTGCAGAAGAAAATAATAAAATAAGTTAGGGAAGTGTAGTTACATTAGTCATTTTGAAGAAATACAAAGAGGGAAAATGCATGTTTCTTCTTTTTTATATTATTTTTTTGCAAGAGGCCAGAAGCCACCCTCACTCACCTCTTTACAGGACTGGATGGCGATGTACTCTGCAAAGATTTTCTTGGCTTTTGAGGCCATCTTGGACTGCGATTTGACCTTCTTGTATTCCTCACATGCTAGCCAGAATTCCAGATTCTCCTCGCTGAACTCCGTGCGCAGGAAAGCTCTGAAAGCTGCCAGACCATCTGAGGGAGAGGAGGAGAATAAACAAGAGGAGAGTTGACTAGAGTGCCATGGCAACCTCACAGCTGAAGCACTCATTGGAGTTTCAGCGCCTAAAATAGCTCTGTGACGGCCTCTTGAGTCATGTGGTTGGAATAAAATTTGATTTTTCTTTTAAAAAAACTCTCAACACTACAGCACATTGTCCTCAACTCCGTTTAAATGACATCACCCCACTGACACAATCCTTTCTTATTATTCAGAATGACATTTATGCATTACCTTACAGAAATGCTGTGAATGAACAAAGAGATGGCTGTTTTAGCGTTAAGGGGGAAAGGACTAATTCTGGCACTCTGAGATTTTTAAGTTTCAGTCCAGTTAATGATTTGAAAAAGAAGGCATCCAGAAGAAAGAATAGCAGGAAGCCGTGTCCACCCACTGCTCTTGTCTGCACCTTTCCGTTCCCATGAATCACCCACGCTGATAAGCAGTACCAGCGGTCCTCTCTTAGCTCATTCTGGTAAGCGGGAGTGAGGTAAGAGGTGGAAGAGAGGAAATTAGAAGGGGGAGAATAAAGAGGCCAACGATGCCGAATGAGGAACAGATGTAGCGCTGGCTTTGTATCAGCTTTGAAAAAGAATTGGGACTGAGCTGTGGAAGATGAATTGAGGAACACAAAAATAGCAACACACTTGCAGGTTGCCTGTTTTAGTCTCTCCCCCCTGTCTCTCTACATAAAGCACAGACTCTGTTCTGTTGGGATTAGGGAAACTTGCAAGCTGCCCGTTCACTGCGGCAGCTTTTGTTTGTGTGTGTAATCCATATATGAGCACATGCATATTCCCTGTGCTCACCACCCTCCCCCTCATGCAAGCACTGTATCTATAGATTCACCTACTGTCAAGAACCACATTGCACTAAAGTATCCAAACAAAAGACAGAAGATTCCCATGTATGCAAAGGAAGGAGAAGATGAGAGACAAAGCAGAAAGAAAAGCAGGAAAAGGAATTAAAAGTAACTTACATTTGTGTGCCAGCAGCTTGTCAAGCGAGTCCCCCCATTTCAGTGCCTCCTCCGGGGTGGGCCTGCAGATAAAAGCAGAGCGATTCTTTAACAAGCCCATCTCAGCCAGGTTTCTCATGGTGTGACCCATCCGCAGAACTTTGTCTATGCTTGGTAGATGAGTGGAAACATGGACGTCAACTGCTTTCCTCCACTCAATAGTCTGAGTCCACTGGTCTTTGCCTCACTTTCAGTCCAGCCTCATGTACACTTAACAACACTAAGAGTCTATCTGCTTCACCCTAGTGGGGTAGGCTTTTATATTGCCACAGAATGCAACTTGGAAGGAGGGAGGGGAGGGGCTCCAGCCGGCCAATGGGAATGTGTTGTCGGGATTTAAAGACCTCCTCCCCCCACCAGTGTCTGTCTGCCCCCTGCTGCCTCTCATCCTTTCAATACCCTGCTATAAAGCATGCCTCTTCACAGTGCTCATCTTACACTCACTGTAATCAACATCCGAGGCCATATTTGACACAGTAAGAAAAAAGTGGTAATTTCAGGTGCATTTTAGTCAACGTGGACTTATTTGTGTGCCTTTTGACAATGGATTTGAGTTTTAGCAGATATTCTAATATCTGTTCAATCAAATCAACAAAACACTTGCTCTTACAATTGTGTTTATAAATATATATTAAATATTGCATTTAAAAGTTGAAGCAGCTGATTGGCTGTTAAAATATTACATATATGACATTCTCATACTGTTATAAGGGAAATTTTAATACAATACCCTATAATGTTGATTTCTAATTCCACAGAGGACATTTATTTCAGTTGTTTGGGACCAAGTGTTGAATATATGGAAAGTATATAAAGAATGGTTGCCCATCACGCACACCTATTAGCTTCCTGTGAAGTCAATCAAAAAAGCACCACAGCATTGAAACACCAGTCTTTTATCAGCCTTAAACATCAAATCGATCTCTGAGATTTCATTGTTGACATGAATATATTTAATATGGTAAACATATTTTCTAGATAATTAAAAAAAAATGCATCCAAACAATTCACTGCATCTCATTCAGATGGGCCACTGTTACTCAAACATTCTCTGATTCATTTTAATGATGCCACACATTACAATAGCCGCTGCTGCCCACGTGTCTTGCCTTCCAAGGCCAAGTCATCACCAGTTGTGGTGAGACCTGGAAAAAAGTCTCACCCACACCCACATGCACATACTGTCAGGAAGTGGCCACTTACTTGACTGACTTCATAGCTTTGTCTAACTTGCTGGCTGGGTTGCTTCCTGGGGATTCATTCCTCCTCCGCAGGAAAGCCAGCCGATTCTTCATGTCTTTGGCCCTGAGTGAAAGAAAGATAGAGGAGAGAATGAAGGAGAGAGTTGGCAAGAGAGGGAAGAGAGAAAGGAAGATTTATGAATACAGAAGGACGCGGAGAAGCGGGGAAGGTAGAGCCAGGACCAGGAGAAATATGGAATGAGGATGAAAGGAATGATAGAGGAGGTAGAGAAAAAGAGACAGGGGAAGAAAGTGTGTTCAGTCCAAGTCCAAAGTCCACAATTAAAACAATCCATGGGAATCACCAATTAAGATCTTCAGCACTGTAAATCCAATCCACATGAAATCAAACCCACAAACGCCAGAAAAGGGGAAAATAAATTTCATTGTTGTGTACATTTTAGTCTTCAGCCAGGTGTGTAGGTATGGTGGCGCCGAATTTTTCCAAAAGGCGGATGTCAAGCTCCCTTTTCCTTGCTTCGCGTCTCTCCTGTCAATCTAATATCTCACAGTCTTTCCTGTAGATGTGTCCCTGACAGGTTCCTCGGCAGGGACTGAGCGAATGTGGCAGAGAAGGAGGAGAGAGACTCAATCCTCACTCCTCTGTTTCATCATGCCATTCTCCATGCGCCTAGAGGGGTTGCTAAGAGGGAGCTGACCCAGGGCCGAGGCAACAGGGCACAGTGACCTCCTCACCCCTCTGCTGCATTACCACCAGCAGCAGCATCCAAAATCCTCCTGACCACCCACCTCAGATGTTTCACTTTCCTCCAACGATCACACACACACACACACACACACACACACACACACACACCACTGCACATGCGCCACCTTAAATCTCACAAAAGGCGATACACCAACCCTCAGTCCCCCTTGGGTTCCTCCAGAAATCTGCGCATTCCCATAATCCCTTGGTGCGTGTCCTGACTTTTCCCGACCTGGAGCACGTGCTGCCTCGTTGGGATGTGACCTCACTCAACACCCATTTCCTGAGTCCCTGCTTTTGATTTCCACTGTGGATTGGCTGGCCTGCTAATAATGCAGCACGGCAGTGTGTGCTCGCCGGCCCTAATCACTGCAAGCTGTCCCATTGCCAACCAACAGCCCCCAGGAGAGCATGTACACCCCAAATTAAGAAACAGGACTTCCAGTTATAGACACTTATCATTCAAACATGCACACAGGGGGGAGAACGCACAACTGCAGATTAGCGCAAATACTGTACAAGCGGATGAACGAACGAACACCCACCCACGCCCACTCCCACCTGTGCCAACTCATGCCCACTTCACTGGTGCTTTCATGCAAGTCACAGGTGTTGGAAAACTCCCCGTCTGCGCCAACGTGTGCATGTGTGTGAGTGAGGGGAAGTGGGAGAGCGACCGTTTATACACGCGTAAATGTGCCTGTGGCTGCTGAAACTGAACAGAGAACACAGTCAGCTGTCTAATGTCAGTTTTTCCAACTGCTGCAGGACAGGAAAGGCAGAAACATGCTCATACACATTGATACAACATGACTACACGAGTTATTGGAAGCATGAGTGTGACTTTGTGGGTGTATTGATTTGGGTGTGTTTTTGTTGGGTTGAGGGGGGTGTTCAGCTGATGGAGGCTACTTTAGTTGACCCAGAGAACCACAAAATAGAGGCCTATTATAAGATAAAATAGATAATAAGGAGAAAAATAGATAAAGGACAAGAGAGAGACTGAAAAACTCTTAGAGGAACCATAAAATACACTTTTAAACCAGAGGAATTTAATTGTAAGGAATACCTATACATCTACACAGCGTCACTGATGGAGAGATGAGTCATCCATTATCCAATAATGTGCCCTGTATGAAGCAGGCATTAACCAGATACTGAACTTCTGAGCACAATTCAGGCCTCTCTGTCTTGGAAACAACAAGGCGCTGTAACCCAGTATCCCTGTGAACAGCTCACAGCCTGAAGGACATTATTGCCCAAATAAAAACTCTCTTGCTGTTAAATAAACTCATAACATCAGAGCAGGATTCATTAGATTGTTCTATTTTTAGGTTGGACTCAAGGCAATTAGGTCTTGAGCTGTGCATGTGTTCCCTAAAAAACAGAGCCTCTGTCTTGCCAGTACATGTGAGGAAGAGGAGAAACTTGTGTTTTATAAGGGCTGGAAAATATTTTGTTGGCCTGACAAAAGAGGCTTTATTATTTATGTCTGCTTTTATACAAGACGAGCCTGTATGGAAATGATGTGACAATGATGTCATAACAACAGTCACTTTGAGGGAAATGTATGTTTCTATCCTGCCACCAAGTGGGTGTGAATGGATATTGCAAACGCAAACAGGTGACATTTTCCGCCCTCCAGCAGCACAGATTGCTTGCATGGCATTATTTCACTCCAAGTAGTTGTGCGGTGTCGACACTAGAAACAACTTGAGCTTTCATCATCCCATGATTTGTATTTCCACTTATACACACAGTACAGACACTATTCTTGAAGTGATAAATCTATGTTATGTAGTTGTCTCCTTTATAAACCACTACACACTGGCAGTACTGATCGTGGTAACACTTTTTTCTGTTAAGTCTGCATGTTTGGTAGTTTGTCATACTGCAGGAGGTGTGAGGTTTCTTGAGCTTCAGCTTCAGATAAAGAGTTTCTTCCTGCATGGCAGCTGCCATAAATTAAACTGCCTGTGGGACACAATGGGAGTCAACAGAGACCCCCGTTGACTACCATTGTGACCTCTCTCACTTCAAGTACCTCTGTATTTAAAGTTGATACTTCTTAATAGCTCCCCAGAGCTAATACAATTAGCAATGTACTGTATCGGACTCCATTAGATTTATTACATAGCCCATAACCCCTACACCTAACTCAATCTACAAAAAGACTGATACATGCTGTGTAGAGGATTATCAAATTAGGATGATCTTTGATCTAACACGCTGCCACCCAGAAATGTCTGCTTCACTGCCCCTCCCCGAGCACACTACATGCAGCATGTCCATGTTTGCAGCACATGTCTGCTTGTGTCTGCACAAGAGATAGCACTTCATGTGCTTGAGCGAAAGAGCAAGAGGTCTTTCACTCCGCAATTATGTGCAGGTTTCTATACTCTTTATTCCCTCTTTGCTTGGCTCACATTAGATGCACTAATAGCACCCCGCTGGCTATTCCTGGTATTCTGAAAAGTAGGCCGCACTCCCAGGGAAAGGCTCTGGGAGCACATGGGGGAGAGCTGCAGACAGACACACTGCAGATCACAACGCACCATTTGTAAAGCCTGGCCTGTGAGATCAAGGGTACGGCAGTGAGAGCAGAGGAGAGGAGGAACTGCAATACAGATGGTGAGAACAGCAGCACCAGGTGAGCAACGTTCAAGCTTGTTTTCATTCACTCTGCCACTCTGTATTTACAGAAAGAGGTGTGCCTGTGATGTACAGGTCAGGATACAAAAATAACACTGTGCAAGCATGTGTGTCTGTTTGTATGAGTATAATGGGTCAGGTTAAGGGCACTTAAAATAACATTCAGACTATTAGGGCTCTGTCTGAAAACATATGGGGGCACATTTGCCCTGTGTTTTCTTCACAGACAAATCAGTCCATAGATGTGATGCATCCAAAACCAAAAACACATACAGTAACAGAAAGAGAGAGAGAAAGCCAAACCTTTACAGTGCCTCATAACCAAGAAAGTCTCTCTGTAATATTCCTCGAAGAACAATGAAAAAGGGAAGTGTCCTAAATTTTGTCCATAAATATAACATCTCATTCACAGTCTGCCTCAATCAAGTCCAAAAAAGGAGCTCTATTTCTGAGCAAACTCACCTTCCTAGCCAAAAAGACCACATGAGCCAATCCTATTCCTGAAATCCAGGCTGTGTATTATAAGAAAAAGGGGCAGCCTCAAGTTAGAACTTAAAACTGCTTCCTCCAAAATAGTTTGAGCGCTCCAGCCTCAGGGGGGATTCTTTCCCTCACTGCGACTGTCAAATGAGATCCATGTAGAGGTCAGATAGCTTCCTACCAGCTTGACAGCATCCATTCCTGTGGGAGGCAAAGCAGCCCCCACTCCACACCTTCTACACCCTTCCTTCTGATGTTAGTAATTCTTGATATTGAAAATCAAAGTGCAGATGAACACTGCCTTGCGCTTACCTTTCAAGGTACTTCTCTGAGAAATCAACCATAGTGTGAAACATGGGTGCCAGCCTGATCGCAGGTTCACTTGGTATGTAAGCAAATTTGACTGCATGTAAGCGTGTTTCATACGAGTGCTGGTGCTCAGGGTCCAGAGGTTTGTTTGATCACATTCCTCTAAGCCCTGAGAGGCTCTGGTGGAGCTTTATATAGTCCAGGGGGTCTGGAGAAGGCGGACTCTGGGCTCACCCAATCACCACGCAGGGTTTAGAGAGGACAGATTCCTTCCACTGGGGCCTGTACAGGTCTTTAGTTTTATGGGTTGGGACGCTGAGATGACATTTGTCTTTTTAGCAACTTAGCTACTGTAATGATCTGTTCACATGTCCCACATGACAAACAGTGGTAGAGCTCTGTGTTACATCTGCTACCAGGCTACAAGAAAGAAATAACACACATTAAAATTTCATATTGTCTCTTCAGTAGTTTTGCTCTCGGATAGAATCTAATGCCCTCCATCAGGAACACAAAGTGAGACCACCGTGGCTTTACATAATAAAGTGAGTGAAAGACATTTACTTTGGGGAATATAATTTAGGGGAAACTCCACTGACTTTACACATAAAAGTCTGTTTGGAGGTCTTGGGGAGTACTACTGTTTATGTGGGAAAAGTAGTATAAAGCCTTTGCGTCTCAGGAAAGAGGTGGGCAAAGTCTGAAAATTTTAAACATCAGCTAATGTCAGGCTAGAAACTACTAACTCACCTCAGTTTGATGCTTGCGGTTTGAGGCTACACTAGCCACCACTAACCATGCATTCACTTGCTCCTCGGATGGTACCACGTCCCGAGTTGTGAAGTCGTTCTTCCCACTTCAGTGTGTTCATGTGCTTTTAAGTCAGAATGTGGCAAACAACATGGACGGTATTACAAAGATGTGTTGTATTGTCATTGTCATCCAAGTATGCTGAAACAGTTTAAAGCTTTAAATTATAAAGAGATTTTTGTCCCAGAGTTGTTACTGCAACTGTAACTACTGTTAATTACCTGAAACCACTAAAATATTGCTTGTACTGCAAATACTGCTAATAAATAACTTTCCAAATTAACCTAACCTAACACTATATCACAAATGACATGTTAGCAAAAACTGTATATGCAATATGTGATTTTGCAACACTAATCAAATGTTTCTAACCACCAACCACGTTTCTACTTGCATGACGTCAACAACCCGGCAACTCGTGTACCAAACTTTTCTCAGACTTTCTGAGTTGTTGTTCCGACTTCAGGGGGCATTCACATGAATTTTCCTGATTATTCAGACACCACAAATGCAAAGTAACATAACACACCCAAAAGTATGACCGAAGTTGCATTGTGGCTAATGTAGGTGCCGTGTTTTGACACTCAAGAAGAATGCAGGGAATCAGTATTGTGCTGTGAAAAACACCACTCTCCATCCATTAATACTGACCAGAAAATGTCTTCAGTATATACTGTATGTAAAGTACAACTGTACATACATCAAATACAGAAACACAAACACGAGATGGTAATTTGTGTTGTTTATATTAAACACAACACAAGTAAACACTTCACTCCGTGTTTTGCTTCGCTTTTCTCTGACCTCTTCAACTGTCTGTATTTCCTGCCTTTATGAATCGAGGTTGGGTACCAGTTGTCATCTCTCAATCTTATCGGTATGTATATGTTTGTTGTGGTAGAAAAATATATCCAAAGAAACGAAAAACTGTACTTCTGGGTACGTTTCTGCATATATTACTCTGGTGCACTAATTGATGTGTTTATGGCTTCATTGCTTCTTGTTGGAAACCACCAGATGGGGGGGAAAAACAGCAGTATAGCTGTACTGGGATGTATTACTCGGGGAAGCAGAACACCTGGACTGAGTAAAAACAAAAGGTGATAATGGAGAGGGGGATGGCAGAGACAACGTGGACAATTACAAAAACAGCAAAAAGGAGAGAAGGAGAAGTGTAGGATGTAAGAAACACAAAGGTAGGAAGAGTACAGTGGAAAATAATTAGAGCAGGAGAGAGAATGCTTAAGAAGTTGATGACCAGAAAGTCTTTGTTGTTGTAAATGATGCACGAATGGCCAAGTGCTTTGTAAGATTGGTGAGAGGAAGTTTCAAAGAGGACAGTAATGGGCTCTTACATGTAAGTACCATTTCACCTCTAAGTGAAAAATCTATTTTCTTCTTCTATGGATATTGACATTGTGTATTGAGATCTGTTTCATTCAATCTTCCTCTCACTGACGATGATTAGGGTAATTACAACAATGAGAAGAGTGTTTATAGTGATATTATCACTAATTGCAAGACTGAGACCAACAAAACAAAAGAACGAGATGAACCTCAACATTCCAAGTTGCACTTTTTCAAGCTGAACTGGAGTCTACATCAGCATAGGTAAGAGTATCAAATCTAGTCACCGCAAAGGTTAAAAACACACAGAACACAATGTACACAACAGGAAGGACATTCAGAGGAGAGGAAATCAAATATGCTATTACTACATGATCCCTCGCTCCATGGGCAAAGGTCAGTGGTCTTTTTTTAAGATATAAATTGCATTATTTGGTCATGTGAGATAATGTTGACCACTGATGTACATGTACCATTTCTATCTATAGAAGCAACATATTGCATTTTTATTTCTCTGAATTACACAGAAAAATATTGTATTGTGGGCTATTAAGGGTATATTTATTGGTGTGACTTAGTATGGTGGAGTAGATTTTGCCTGCGGTATTGGTTTTACAGTGTGGCATAATGACAAATGGCTGAAAATGGTTCAAATACTGGGCGATGAAAAAATATTCATAAGCAATTACAGGCACATGACATTGACAGTTTAATGGAAACAAGAGCTGCAAATACACAAGACAGAAAGTGTGTAAACATGAAGAGTTTCCGCCACGCTGGGAAAGCTTTGTGAGTGAACCTTGTTATATTGACTAATGATGACAGAAAAGTTTTGCACTCAACGACAGGAAGTAACTTTGTCTACAAAAGACAAAGATGTTTTTTTTTCCCATGCAGCCTTTATCAGTCACAACTACGCTGTACAGATGCCTCTTAAGTAGAAAAAAAGAAGTAATTAGCATCAGATGTTTATATAGCGACCTATCAACATCTAGTGCTGGAACAAGGAAAAAGATGTGTAAGACAATGCTCTCCACCACCATCTCCATGACACCAAATGATATAATATAAACTTACCATAAACATTTGTACATAGCATATGAAGAAGGTAAGGACTTGTACAGCATATACAACCATACCTTTTTTTCTTACACCTAGCTTAAATGTCTCATCCCACATTAAAATGGAAGACTAAATGTATTTCGAAAGTAAAAAGTGTTGTTTGCTTCACACCCGTCTAGACAAAGGGACAGAATCCTCCACAGGGACAGGGTGATCAGTGTTTGCTAACCAACAAACGCTGCCAAGTTGCTATGTGTGGCTATGACTGAAATTTTCAGGTACAAATTACACATTACAAAGTCATTACTACACTTTTGTGTATCTGTGTATCAAGTCTTTAGTTAGAAGAACAAAAGCATTCTTGCTTCTTGAAAGTGCTAGGAGAAGTCATGAATTAACTCAAACTAAATTTGATGTTACTATAATGAAAACATAGTGTTTAAACACAGTGTACTGCAATACCATGTCCAAAACTGATCACCAATCCATCACTGATTTGGAAATATGCCTTATTTGCAAACAATCCCACAATTTAGATTTAAACTACAATAAAAGGAAAAACACACTTCTTATCCCTGTGAAAAAAGGCTGTGGAATCTTAATCACTTAATCTGCTGATTAACTAAACAACATAAAAACACAGCTTGCACAGAAGTATGGACAGCTATCAAGGACAGCCAGTGAGAGTGGTTTTATTGTCCCCCGTGGCGTGAAATCTGCTTTCATCTTGATGAACAGCAGCGTGAATCGAGCTCATTCAACAGCTGCTGAATAACTGAGGCGTCAACGCACACATCCACACACAAAAAAGCATTCTCAACACACACACACACCTTTACTTCTCACGCCACTGAGAAAGTGTGACACACATATGGTATCACACTCCCCAACAACACACACATCAGTTACCACTTAATTAAGTAGATGGTGATCAGTGTTGAATGACAGGCTTAAACTTTTACTGTCACCTTAAGTACCTGCACCTATGTGAACAAGTGCAGGTATTCCCCAGACCATCAAAAGGGCCAAAATATTTGTATGCAACATTAAGGTGTTGCCCAAAATGGAGACAAAAGGGCACAGTTTTAAATTTAGCCACCCTAGTGTGGACCTGTCCTAACATCCCCAGTGCACTAATCCAGTCACACCTACACTAACACATTGTCAGAATAAGTTCTGATGTTTCAATCAACCCCCTCACTCCCCCCATGTGCTGTAGCAGGCTATCTTTCACCATTAATTTGGACACAAGCAAAGACATTCTTTTAAAACAATGGATGTTAAAGCAGGGTGTGAAATTTTTACCCTTTACTGGATACACATGTTGATTAAATTAGCATGAAAATAGAAGGCTGATGTCTGAACAGTGAAAACAGAACAGGTATTGTAGTTAGTCAGTACTCTGGCTCACTCTCATTCCCATACCTCCTCTTTCTCACATATAAATTATCTTTATATTTTAAATCAACCAAGCTTTGCTTTCCTAAACAATGGTGTGATATTGTCACAGGTTAAAATTCACATTCAGGAAAAATTTAACAAAACATGCCATTCATTCCTTGTTTCCAACTTTCAAAATGATCTGACAGTGAAACTGAAGATAAGAAAGGAAACACACACACACACACACACACACACACACACACACACAGACAAACAACTAATTAATTTGAGATTTGAGTACTTACAGGTTCTTGGATTTCTTCTTCTTTGTTCCTTCGGGGCAGACCTCGCAGCTACAGGGGGATCCGGAGCTCAGCTGAGGGGAGATGAAGTAGAGCACACACTGCATCATCCACCCTTCACACAGAAAGAGGGCCCAGTAGCCTCATGCAGATACTCTAGCTAGCTTCTACTAGCTCCAACAGGCAATGGCAACCTAAGTTGGCTAGTAAAATAGTAAGTCCTCGGCGTGTCCAGTTAGGATAGACTGTAGTCCAGTCCGTAACACACACAGCCAGCCACTAAAATGATTAATCCACAGTCCACAGGATAAATCCCACAAGGCAAAGCTCTCAGAGGTGTGTGTGTCTGTGTCTTGCTGAAAGAGTGTGTCTGACTCTGTGTGTCTGTGTGTGTGTGTGCAGCAGATGGTGTTTGTAAACAATATGTGTCTGGATTTCACAAAGTAAGGAAATTCTGTGAGAGTGAGAGAGTGTGAAAGACTACGGCTGTTGTTTCTGTTGGCCTCCAACTGTGCCCTAGGTTTGAAGTGGCGAGCCAAGACCCCAGGTTTCACATTACACTTTCTGCCAGCCCACCATTTTCATTGGTTAAGAGTAAAAGGGAAGTTGCTTCAGGGTGGGGAAGGGGTCAATCTCCACTAATCTGATGGCCTGAAGCTGCCCCATTGTATGTGTGTGTGTGTGTGTGTGTGTCTCTAAATAATGAGCCATTGTATTACAGGAACACACAGTTGAATCTGAGCTGCATACTAGCCACAGCTGGTAACACATGGTGTATGTTTTCTATCTGCGTGGGACCCAATTTGAGTTTCAGCCTGTTTCCAGTCTTTATGCTAAGCTATGCTAATTGGTTCCTGGTTGTAGTTTCATATTAACAGACAGATATGAGATCGCTATCGATCGTCTCATCTAAAAGCTATGGTTAGAGGCTAATTCAGATTATTGAGGGTCCTCACTAGTATAATAATGCAAACATACTGATGTGTATTTGTGTATCCAATTGTGCAAGTATAAAGTGAAAATGCGTCAGGTCACAATGTGTTTGTGGGACTATTTTTGTATTTAAACAATATCTCTTAGTCCCACGAGCAAACATTTCCTGCTGTATGACCCACCCTACATATACCAGCTGCCCAAAGTAATATCCTGTCGTGCTTTTGCACTGTTGAACATGGTCAGTACATCAACCATATTAACTTACTGACAAAACAGGAGGAGGAAACATGTTTAGCCATTGGATGATACTGATTTTTAAATGACTGTTCATTTATAACAATTTGAACAAAGATGATAATAGGAAACACATATTTTTTTAAAATTCCCTCAAGTTTCTGGCAGCAGCACAGCAATGAAACTCCTGACACGAGGAGCTGAAAATTAGACCTTTGTTTAATGCTGATGTGGGTGAGCACACACTGAAAGATATACCGCTTCTTCCGATATGAGTCCTAATAAGTTAACTATCTAGCTAATCCTGGAAAATAAGAACAAGTCTGTCTGTGAATGAATTTGTCTGCTCCCAATCCTGGATGACAGCAGGGCATCTCTCTGCCACATCCGCCTCTTTCATAACTCCTCCCTCCAACTGAGATTCAGTTTGTCATTATAGGAAGTGTACACCAATGCACTCAACGCTTTCTGACTGAAGTCGCAGTTGACTGTGAAAGGTGAAGTGTATGTTATGTAGGAGCTGTCTAAAAACAAGTACAAGCTAAGCATGGAACAAAATATTTTTAGTGCTGCTGTCTGACAGGCACAAAGACCTGTTGAACTGTACAGTGTGTGTGTGTGTGTGTGTGTGTGTGTGTGTGTGTGTGTGTGTGTGTGTGTGTGTGTGTGTGTGTAGCGGGTTCTATTTGCATGACTAAGACATGCATGGTTGCAAGCTAATGTAGTATTTTTTGGGTAATACTGACAAAATGCTTGCTATTTTTAACCAGTGTCAGTGATAATGTGATTGCTGGTGCTTAAATATATTTATACATAAGAAATGTCTGAGTAATGTGAGCATGATGAACTAACAGGCATTAAGTCATTGTTAATTTCTCACCCGTACTTACAGTTCAGAAAACTGCATCAGTTCTTCAAATGTATCAAAAGTTATAGGTAATATCTATAGTGCTATAACCAAACCCTAGATGATATATTGTCACACCACAATAAGATATATATCATGCAGCTGATGGTCATGAGAGACATCAAAATCTAATCAGTAATCTCAGAGGGAACAGCACAACAGGTGAGTCCCAGTCCCTATGGAGCCATCAGCAAGGCTTTCCCCTGAAACCACAGGAAACTATTGAAAAATGACACAAACAGAGACATCTGTCCTGATGTAGCACCCCAGGACAGTATTATTCATCCTGTATCAGGAGAGCAAATTATGCTGTGTAGCCAGTATAGATCAGAGGGGGATTGTCCGCTTGTTGGGTCAGCCTTTGTTCGACTAGGCTCCCTGCATGTAAGGACTGGATGCTCATTCACACTAGACTGCTATGTTACAGCTGGATGGCATCCACATCCACACACACAGTGAAAAGCCGGCTTTCTTGCTCCAGCTAGTATTAGCAAGTGGCTAATCTGTCAGACAGCAGAACCGCAATTCATGATACATGACAGCATCTTGTCAGTGGGAGGTCAGTTAAAAGGATGAAGTCTTAAAATTACAATGCCATGATTTCATACGGAATCAAAATGGCCTTCCAGCTTCTTTTTAATTCCCATTTATAGAGAGGTTGAAATCTACATGAACACTGAATATGAGCCTCTAACAGGGAGATTCAGGAGGACACTAAGGGCGAGATGCACAATATTTAATTAGTCAGGCTCCATGTGTAATAAATAAAGCTGTCTTAGATTGGTGTCAAACATTGTATAGTAATGTCAGTATTGTATGTATTTGAGTAGGTTTGTGTTAAATTAACAAAATCTTCGAAAATTATTGCATTAGAGGTTTATTCTCAAGTTTCTATGTTTCTCTTTTCTCTGTTTTCATTCTAACAGTCAGACCCCACTCAGGCCCCCAAACAAAAGAGACTTAGACAAACAGACACACACACACACGCACACACACACACACACACACACACTCACACACATACAAATACACGCACCCATATCTGCCTGGCAATGGACTGTGGATAATAAAAAAGTCTGAGTCTTTTCTAAAAATAACCCTGGTGTGTGTTTTGTGTGTGTGCGTGCTTATGTGTATAGACTGCTCACATGCCTCACTGAAGACAGTAAGAAAACACAGATTCTGCCAAAGACCACACGATAATATTGCCCCCTGTGGCAATGTTAAGGGTTGTAGGTTGTAGGATGGCTGTGCAGATACACAGATAAAGGTTAACCTGGCTGCATGCATGTTGCACACATGTCTTTGTAGCCAGTTCTCCAGTCCCATGTACATATATTACATTGGGAAAGAAGTCTAGAACATCAGTGGGCTGCTATTCCCTTAGATGACAGGGCAAAACTGTCTGTCTTTGTCTCAACAAACTGTACATTCTTCAGTTGTGCTCTGCACTAACAAACACACTGTAGGAACAATATTCTCAACACAGCTCTGAAACATTCTTGACCCAGTCAACCCAGACTCCAAATCCTCCGACAACCTAAAACCCCAGAGGTGGAGAAATGAATCTTGGTCTTTGTATATTTAAACCAGTTTAACCCCTGTTGCTTTTCTTTATCAGACCTCCCTCGGGCTACTTCCTTCCTTTTCATTCCCCCATTTCTTCTTTTATTTGAAAACAAGCTGTCTGAACACTGTTATGGGGAACCAGACAATCTCCCATTCCATTTAACAAAGCCTTGGATTAGTTCTATGTGTTAGACCCAAGCGGCAACTTCTGGGGCTGAAAAATTAAGCCAAACCGGAATTGCCAAAAACTGCATTTGGCCACATGATGCTGGTTGTTAAAATGTCCAACTTTACATCTTGGTACAAAAAATGGTTTTGGTTTCTATAGCCAAATCATGCTAACTCTGGAGTGGGTGGATTTTGATATAACTCATCCATTAAAATTATATCAAGGCTTAAAGTTAAGTTAAGTCAATAATTAAGGGCGTGGCTGAATAACAGGTGGGTGGCATTACAGGTAACTAGCCGCTAACTGTCTGCTAGCTCCACCCATGCACCCTCTTTGCCCATTTTTGGAATAGCCGGAGCCACATTGAGCTTTACAATTACTCTTCATAAAGCTATTGGGGACGTCACAAGACTACGTCCATGTTTTATACATTGGGTGTAAAACACGGGCAGACCCTAGTTTCCTGACATTGTGTGGCTTTACTCTGTGTGTGTGTATGTGTGTGTGTGTGTGTATGTCACACCCCTTTTAGACTGACACAGTAAGGTCATCCAACCTGGCATTATGCCCCTGCCCCATGGGTTCAAAGCAGAGCCAATGCTGATAAGGTTTGATATGAACACATATTTTAACAATAACCACAAGATTATAATACAGCTATTGAAATATAACAGTATTATTATCCCATTGCAGCCTTCTCAACAATAAATTCTTCTCATCTCAATCTCAGTAGATTCTCAAACATGAACAGAAAACAAATGACGTGGAGTTTTACCCTTTTTCCCACCATTATGTTGAATTTCAAGTAAATATTGTATAACACTTAAACAACATTGTGTTAGGCGAGTCTAACAGGCAGACAATGACATGTAAAACACTTCACACAATTTACCTACTGGTTCCATTTACAAACTGTGCCCGTTTTGCAAAAACAAATTCGTGCACTTTATGCTTAAGTTTGGCCCAATACAGCAGCAAGAAACTACAACAGTGATGATTTGGGACATAACAGCTGCAACTACACAAAAAAAGCTTCAACACATACAGTATTGGTTAGGCACGAATGATCCTCTTATGTTAATGTTTTGGACAAATCGTCGGTGTTGCACATGAAGCACAAATGCTTCGAAACCATGATAATGGAACAGTGGCGTCTTGGCTAAAAGGTGCAAGATGAAATTAGATGATATAATTCATAAAATGTAGACTACTGTGTATCACATTCCTATCTTAACCTTAAGTCAATGATGAAAGCGAAG